CTCCTAACTGGTCTCTTACTCCTGTAAATCCATTCTTAGCAGATCAGACCTTCAAAATCCCACTAAAATGTAAATTAGATTCTGGCTCTCTATGCTTTTTAAAACACGTATCTTTATTGTTTAGAGTATTACAGATACCCTCCCTTTTCCCCCCCTGACCTCTTCCACCCTGCTCCTGTCCCACGCCCAGGCCTTCCCCACACTATGGTTATGAATACCCTAAATAATAAAAGCCTAATATGCAAATTGACTGAGTGGCAGAAGGGCCAGCAGAACGAACGGTTGCTATGATATGCACTGACCACCAGGGTTCAGGTGCTCAACATAGGAGCTGCCCCAAGCCCGCAGGCCCTAGGCCAGCCAAGGCGGGCACGAGCAGGGGCCCCCTGATCGCCCTGCCAGTTACACTGCAGAGGGAGGCGACCAACGGTGGCAGCAGGGGGCAGGGCTGGTGAGTGGGCGGCGCCAGGCCGCCAAGGCAGGTGCCAGCAGGGGCCCCCAGACTGCCCCACTGGTTGCTCTGCAGAGGGAGATGACTGGTGGCGGTGGAGGCAGCGGGGGGTGGGGCCAACGAATGGGTGGTGCCAGGATGGCCAAGGTGGGTGCCAGCGGGTGCCACCTGATCGCCCCACTGATGGCAGTGGCAGGGGGCAGGGCCGGCGAGCGGGCAGTGCCAGGCTGGCCAAGGTGAGTGCGAGCGGGAGGCCCTGATCACCCTGCCCATTGCCCCACAGATCAGCCCTGATCACCGGCCAGGCCTAGACACCCTACCCGTGCACAAATTTCATGCATCGGGCCTCTAGTATGCATATAAATTCATTGGTTAATCTCTTCCCACCCAACCACCCCCTTCCCTCTGAAATACATCAGTCTGTTGCATGCTTCAAAGTCTCTGGATCTTCTTTATTCATCATATTTTGTTCATTAGATTCCATATATAAGTGAGATCATGTGATACTTGTCTTTCTCTGACTGGCTTATTTCACTTAGCACGATACTCTCCAGGTCCCTCCATGCTGTTCCAAAGGATAAGAGATCCTTATTTTTTACAGTTACATAGTATTCCATTGTGTAAATGGACCACAGTTTTTTAATCCATTCATCAATTATTGGTGAGCACTTGGGCTGTTTCCAGATCTTAGCTATTGTAAATGCTGCTATGAATATAGGGGTGCATATATTCTTTCTGATTGGTGTTTCTGCCTTCTGAGGATATATTCCTAGAAGTGGGATCACTGGGTCAAATGGCAGTTCCATTTTCAATTTTTTTAAGGAAACTCTATACTGTTTTCCATAGTGGTTGTACCAGTCTGTATTTCTCTATGCTTTCAACCATTCAATGGCTTCCTATTATACTTAGAAAAACATCCAAGTGTTCACCTCAGCTTCTGAGGTCTGAGATGATTTGGGTCCTGGTTACCATCCACTCTGTCCTCCACTCACTCTGCTGCAGCCACACTGTCCTTCTCGCTGCTCCTCTAACATGCAACACATCTTCCACACCTCATGGCCTCTGCTCTTGTTGTTCTTTTTGTCTAGAACCCTCTTGCTTCTGATATCTGCATGGTTCACTCTCTCATTTCAAATAGTGTTCTGTTCAAATATAACATCTTGGGAGATGCCTCCTCAGATCACCCTGTCTATGCAACGCAGAACTTGGACATCATACTCCTGCACTCTCTATCCCTTTAGACTGCTTTACTTTTCTTCAAAGTAGCATCACTCTCTAATGGTGCATTACTTACTTGTTTTTCAATGGTTTATTGGCAATCTCTTAGCCCCAGAATGACCCTTGAGGGACAGTTTTTGTCTAGTTCATGACTCTATCTCCAGTATCTAGAAGTACCCAGCACATGGTAGGTGTTCAACAATCATTTGTTAAACAAATGATTGATTAAATTTGATGGTTCAAAAATATCACTTAATAAGAGTCAAGGATAATGAACAAAATTTAAATGTATATATTTTAATTCCTACTTGTTATTTTTCATCAAATATATTAGCCTTCTTATTCAAATTATTTTATCTGTCCCACACAATATTTGGTAGAAGTTCTTATAACGACTGAAAAGTTTGAGTGACAAACAAAACAAAACAAAAAAACAAACAAACTCAGAAAAACGAAATCATTTAGGAATGAATAAATAGGTTGTTTTGAGACAGAAAAATAAATTACCTCATCGAGCAGATAGGCACAGAAGCAGTGGGAACTATACTATGTATAAACTGTACTCAAAGTTAACACTGGAAAACACTTAGCAATGCTCTTTGGCAAACCGCTTTGAATATCCTTTTTGATCACTGAAAGACACTTTTGATAGCTCAGAATCCAAAAATTACTCATTCTGTGGCATCTGACTCATAATTTCCTGTAAATCTCCCCCTACCCCCTGTTTTACAAATCAATAGCACTGTCTGTATCTGTCTTTCACTTCATTCTTGCTAAAGGGGATGGAAAGTTTTATGAGGAACCATGCAACATGTTTAAATACAGCACTATTTATAGATCTGACAAATATGTGACCTCAAGAACAAAACAGGATCTCCTGATTGTGTACCAGCATGTTAAGGATATTATCAGAAACTTTGTACACATTCAGGAAATTCTGCACTTGAATAAGGAATTTGGACAGTATTTTAGTTAAAAAGGAGGTGGGTACTGCCATTCTAAAAGAAGTAGAGTTTAGTATCTTACATTAAAAATAACGTATACACAGACCTAACAATCTACTTCTTCAAATATTTTTCTTTCACCTATACCTTTTATCTAATGCAGGTATAATGAACACCACATTGGGAGTTTACCTCTTTTTTTAAAAAAATATATTTTTATTGATTTTTTACAGAAGAGAAAGGGAGAGGATAGAGAGCTAGAAACATCGATGAGAGAGAAACATCGATCAGCTGCCTCTTGCACACCTGCCACTGGGGATGTGCCCACAACCAAGGTACATGCCCTTGGCCAGAATCGAACCTGGGACCTTTCAGTCCGCAGGCTGACGCTCTATCCACTGAGCCAAACCGGTTAGGGAGGAAGTTTACCTCTTAAAGTGTGAAATAAAAAATAGTTTCTCACTAAAACATGATTTGATGAGCTAAGATGACCTTAATGTTTCCTATATAAAACTTAGACAAAAAACAAACAAAAGAAAAAAACTAAGACAGTCTCATAATCTTGATGCTTTTGACATAGCTTATCAAGAAAATTGAAATAAGACACATAAAACGTTTTAATTTTATTTGGAGGAATATGTTTTTATATGACTAAAACTGACTATAAAATAAATTCATCTTAACACACAATCCCAATAATTCTTCCAGTTGTTATTTTCTACTGCAACTTTTTTTTTAAAGATTTTTTTTATTGATTTCAGAGAGGAGGGGAGAGAGATATAGAAACTTCCATGATGAGAGAGAATCATTGATTGGCTGCCTCCTGCATGCCCCGCACCGGGATCAAGCTTGTAACCCAGGCACGTGCCCTGACTGGAATCGAACTGGTGACCTCTCGGTTCCTGGGTCAACACTCAACCACTGAGCCACACCAGCTGGGCTCTACTGCTACTTTTGATCAAGCTAAAAGGGCATCATATTAACTATCTATAAGTTTTCTCCAAATTACACATATAGAGAAGGGTGACTTCCTCAATTTAACACAGAGCTTTGTGCAATTCAATCTGCTTCTTCCTAGTGTTCATACCCAAACACTTTTGCTTCTTTAAGAAAACTGTGCAATATCAAGCATAGATCTGTCTTTTCTCTTACCTCTTTGTTCAAAATTACAAAAACAGGGTCATCACAATTACTATTATCACAATGGGGCTATAGTAATATAAAATGCCATTGTGCAAATATAATGTCCCCTTAGGTACATAAATACTTATTAAGGCTTTCCTCAGGTAAAATAAAACTTAACTAAAATAAACAGACTATATTAAAAGGTATAAGAAAGAATAGAAATTACATAAATTTAATAAAAATTAAACATTAAAGATAATTTTGTTGTAATGTATTTAATTACTTAGAGTCAAAACCTTTAATCACATGGCTAGGGTTACCTGATCTAGTAATAGTTTACAGCTGTGAAACAGTGTCTGCCAGAATTAATTGGCTAAGGGGCAAGGTTTTGTTAATTTCCAAATGATTCTTTTGTATATGGTGGCACCTGAATGATACAAACGGAAATAATGAATTTAAAAGGATTCCCATAGTATGGGTGTAAGTTCTGAAGCATCCTCTGGTTCTCGAATATCACATTACAAATTTCAAATTAACGCTTAACTTTAGCAATGTGCTTTTGTTCATGTAAGGGACCTGTGCACACACAAAAAGACTGCACATCAAACAGTCACTACTGCCTTGACACTTTTCAGTTTAAACAAAGTAAATCAATACATAGCTATAATACCACCATCCTAAGTCTGGAACAAGCATAATACCTAATCCCTTATAAGAAAGTTGAGTATTTCAGTATAAAAATGAACTCTTAACAGCCCAAAGTGGGCTTTTAAAAAAATACAAGATGACCTCTTTTAAACCAGGAAAAATGTAGTGAATAATTAACTTTTTACATAACAGGTTACTTAGTAGTAACCTCATTATTCATTCAACAAATAATACTTAGTGAAATCCTGCTTGTTGAACCTGTTCAATCGTTTAAAAGAGGTATTACTCTCTATCTTCCCACAGGTTTAATGCCAACGCCTTCAGAATTTCCTAACTGTTAATAAGTACTGACAATTCTAAAAATCAAGCACAAACTATAAATAATCAGAGCCAATTCTAATTTTAAAAGATTCCAATAACTCAAACTTGAACTATAATGTCTTCACATAACTGAATAAATTTGTGGGTATGGAAAGAGGAGGGAAAGAAAAAGGAAAAATGGAGAAAAGAGGATAATTTTTAAAATTATGTACTTGATTCTAATAAAAACAAAAACAAAAAACCTGTCACTGTTTCCAGGAAACACATTAGTATTACTTTTTCAGGTCACATACCTTGGTCTGTGTGACTGGCCTTGACTTGGAGTTTCATCTACTCCTGGGAGACCACTGTTAGATTCAAATCTCTTTGAAGCTTCACTTTTTCTCACTAATTTAAGTGAAAAAGGAACAGATGATAATAATATGAAGTGATCTTATTTAAAACTCAAGCATTTAGCAGACACAGATCCATATTCAAATCATATTCATATAATCGAATTAATGACAATGTTTAGAGGTAAGTCATGTTGTTTTTAAAGACAATGAATTATTTTCTACTAGGGGCCCAGTGCACAAATTCGTGCACCTTGAAAAGAATTGTGGGCAATGAGGCTATGGTAGGTACAGGGACTGGTCTCGGCCCATCCTCCATGCCCCCACCTGGCCCCTTCCGCCATGACTCCCGGTCCCGTCTGCCAGCAACCCTGCTCCTGCTGCCACCACTTCCACACGCTGACAGCACCAGCCCCACTCGAACCCACTGACAGTGCAGAGCAATTGGGGCCAGCGCCAGCAGCGAGGGCTAGTGGTGGCTGCTGCCCTGATCACCCCTCAGGAGCAGGGGGAGGTGGAGAAGCCTTCAGGGGTGATCAGAGCGGGCAGCCACCTCTTGCACCCGCTGATGGCACTGAGTGATTGGGATTGGCACCAGGCACTGGCAGTGGGTGTGAACAACAGCTCCAGTGTCAGCAGCAACTGGCGCCCACCTTGGTCTGGCACCCCAGCTCACCTGCTCCACCATGCTATAAGGATCGGTTGTTCCACCGTTCGGTCTATTTGCATATTAGCCTTTTATTATATAAGATATTATGAAAATGACTACATTGCTGTTGATGAAGCTATTATAAAACTCCTATAATATTGTTAAAATGAATAACTGGCCGCTTTTTATAATTCTTAAATTTTTGTATAGAATTATTTGTTTGTCACTTCAACTCAGTGCTACTGAAAAAGGACAATCACGGTTTCTTAAAAACATTTTATTTTCTGAGATGCCTCTCACCTTGTCTGAAGTCTGAGTCAGAGGAAATAATAGATGGACTTTCGCTGGAGGTACTAAAGATATCACTGTGGTAAGTTTTGTATCTTCGAATTGGTTCTAAACAGATTAAAACAAACAAACAAAAAAACATTAGAAAGGAAACTCATTAGCTGTTCCACACAAGTCAAATAAAATAGTACATTTACTATGGTGAGAGTGGAACATTTTATAGAATGTTTAAAATATAAGATTGTTGGATGGTACTCAAACAATGTGCTTCCAATTTGGAGGTAGTCTGGCATAGAGGTTAAGAGCCTGGACTCTGATGCCAGATTGCATGGGTTTGAATCTCAGTTCCACTAATTTCCAGGTGTGAGACCTTAGGTAGGTAATTTAACTTCCTATAACTCATTTTTTTTTAGCTGAAAAGGGGGCATAACAATAGGGTACACCTCATAGGGTTGTTGGAGCATCAAATGAATTAATATAGGTAAAGCTGTTAGGAAAGAGATGTTACATAAAAATCATCATTGACAACCAGTTTCGAATGCTCAATGTGTAAATTCTCTGTGTTAGATGCTAAAGGAATAGAAAATCCAAAAGCACAGTCCTAAGCTCAGATAATAAGTAAAAATACCTAATTCAAGGAAGGATGTTTAATTCCACCAGAATGAGATGAGTAAGCATTAAGAGTGGGGGAGACTTGTCAGGTTGTGCATTGTGTGCTGTAAAGGGGCAGGACTCCATTAAAATCTAAATTCTACCTTCAAAATGTTACTGACTTGCCCTCTCTTTTCAAACTCCCCATAGTTATCACAGATCATCATTCATCTCATGCTGGACTCATATTATAATTCACATTTCAGAGAGTAAATTTTTCAGAAACAAAAATCTGAGCATATTGCTATATTTCTTAAGCTTCTTCAATCTGGTCTTTAAGGTACAATGAAAAACTCCTTAGCTTAAGGTTCAAAGCCTTTTATAACCTGACTAGAGGCCCGATGCACAAATTCATGCACGGGTGGGGTCCCTCGGCCTGGCTGGCGATCAGGGCTGATGGGGGCCATCTTGCCCAGTCCCGATCGGGGCCAATCAGGGCCGGCTAGCTGCGGGAAGGGACCGCAGAAGGTTGGCTGGCCGCGGGAGGTTGGCTGTGGGAGTGCACTGACCACCAGTGGGCAGCTCTTGCATTGAGTGTCTGTCCCCTGGTGGTCAGTGCGCATCATAGCGACCAGTTGACTGGTCATTCGCTTGCTTAGGCTTTTATATATAGAGATCTTCAACTAATTGTATAGCAGTGACTGTTGATACTGTAAAGTCACAGATTCACTTGTTGGAAACAGATTAAAAGTACAGACCTCTTTCTTCCCACTCCCTAAAACACACACACACACACACACACACACACACACACACACACTTAAATAGAACTTTAGAAACGCAATGCAGGTAAAACCCTGTTCCAATAGCCTCATGGTCATCTACTTCCCCAGACAAATTCTGCACTCATGTTCTAGATTTGCAAATTTATAACCAAAAGCAGATAAATTTTTGGGCTCCTTCCTGAAAGATACTCTTTCTGCTAGGAATGCTGTTGTCCACTCCAGCTTTTTTTTTTTTTAAGCTAGACACTTTTTCTTTTTCCTTTAAAAGAAGCCTTAACTTGAACACAAAAGCTTTCATGACCACCTAAAGGCCGGATTGGGCAAGGCTTCCCTCACTTTCATATTGCTTTACACATAACTGGTTGCAACTCTTCCACTGCCGAATAATTTTCTACTTGTTCCCTCTACCCAAATTATAAACTCTCTGACAAAAGGGATTTTTTAAAGATATATCTCTAGTATTTACCAACTGTTTGCTAGCAAGCACAAAAATAAATATTTTCTGAGTGAATATGAATGAATGGATGAATGGATAGATAAATATGTTACACAAAGGTCACCGATGAGCTTCAAGAGGAGTATTTCCATTGCACAGACAAGGCAGAGGCCAAATCAGAAAGGGTTAAAGAAGGACCAGCTGGTAAGGAATTGAGAAAATTCTTTCAATTAGTTTAGGGGTTTGAGAAAAGAAGAAAAATTTTTTAAGAAGACTGAATGAGGAATCAAGAGTCTTTTTGGCAGAGTGGAATGTCTGAGCATGATTTTAGGCAGTGGATGATAAGCCTGCAGATTGGGGGAGACGGAAGTTGTAAAGCATACTAGGGAAAACTGCTGGAAAAATGTGCTGAGGAAAACAGGAGGAGATGGAAAAAATCCCCAATGTACCTGAGACGGTTAGTTGGCAAGGTGAGATAATCTTTTTTTCTTAAGAGAAAGAAATGATGGAAAAGAAGTGAAAATACAGAGGGAATTCCCAGATATTCTTATCAGAAAGTTGACCTACTCCTGGTAATAAAAAGTGAATCACTTCCTGGGAGCCTGTTTAGCTGGGAGCTTGAGAGAGTAAAGACTTTCTGCTGTGAAGAATGTGGTAAGTCAGCAAAAACCACATGAAAGCTTTTGTGTAGCCATGAGAATTTAGATTAGGCTAGAAAGCATGAATTGTATTGGAACCAATCAGAAAGGTTTTGTGGCTTTTTCTTGGCTCTAGAGAAAGCAGACCATGGGAAATATCTAGATCTGAGGAATGACATGGAATGCATGGCAGAGATAACCAAGGTATGGGAGGGAGTCTATTTCACTAGTTTGCAAACTTGAGAACAGGGACTTCACAAAATGAATTATTCCTTGTGTTGCAAGTTGTTCAATAGAGAATGTTAAAAAAAAGAGAGAGATGAATGAACGAATGATTAATGTGATTTGAAAGGATTACAGATGACAAAGAATTTTACATATTATTTAACTTTAATGGACATAGTTAAATGATTATTTAAGAAGGGTTATTTTTTTCAAGGAGCACCAAATAATTTTTTGTTTCATTTTTATAGAACTCTCATGCTAAAATTTTTGAGGAATTTTCCCAAGGTGACTTGGCCAAATTCCAAACCCAGCATTGCAGCACAGAGAGCAGTAAAACAACAAAGCCAAGGAGAGGACCCAGGTGTTCACAGGCAATACAGTTTTACATTACAAAGAAGAATGGGAAGTCGCAGAAGTCTACTGTATGACTGAAGCAGAAAAGGTCAGTCACTAGGATGTTATACCATGTAATAATAATTTCACAAGCCATCTTAAGTGAATTTACTGTTTCATTGCTATTTCTGCAAAGTAGCTGCAAAATAGTAAATAAATTTTAATTTCCATTTTTTGGTGGTGCTTTGTTCTTATACTATTTTATGTGTCTGTATTCTTCTCTCCTGCTAGCCTATATATGTTGTGTTTCTTTTGTCTTTCGTTTACTCTGACAACACTAGTAAACTTTTTAAATTCTTGGGTTCCCTTCATAAGACATATTAGGGTAATGATGATGATCCCCTTTTTAAAATACAGCAATAAATCATCTTCCCTTGATCAACTATTGGTTTATAAATGTTTTCAGGACCACACCTGGGGGCAGAAAGGGACCTGCCTTATGAAGTTTTCCTGCCTTAAAGAAATAGGGCACGAGCACTCCAGAAACACAAACCAGATGACTAGCGAGGCAATACTATTATGGGTAAGAAGACATTCCCACCCCCTAAGATTTGAGTAGAGGTGGGTCTCTGTGTTACTTAAAGTAGTAGGAATCTTTTTTGTGAGCTTCTGTATTCTGAAATAGATCTATTAAAATGTTGTTATCTACGTTCCTTTCATGTAATGGCATGGCAGATATAACCAGATTAAAGTTCCTAGGGAATATTTACTGTTCAAGTCATGATTATAAGAAGGTTATAATCAGATTCAAGTTCTCATCCAAAATTTACCACTTACTCATGCTTAGAAGAAAGGTTAGCCCTCGTTAAGTACAGGCTTTCCATTTCTGAATTAAATAGTAAATTTAACCATTTCAGAAATTATAAAATTACAGGTCTCTTACCACGAGTATCTTGCATTATTAGCATATACAGAGTGGCACATTTTCCTTGCTTACAGATAATTTAGGCAAGAACAATTACTGGCTTTTTGATATGATCTACATAAAGGCAAACCATAGACACTAACTAGAGAGAGAACAGTTTTCCTCCTCTGTTTTGGTCTGCAGAAAGGTAATCCCTAATTTTCCATGAGCTGTCCTAACATTATTAACAACTTTTCTTTTAGGAAGATACTACAAATGTTTCTATCTATATTTAAATGTATAATATTAACACTTTAGATTGGTCCAGACCCCAGGAATGTGGTATTAACTGAGTGAATAAAAAACCCAAACTTTTTATTATGAAAACTTCTGGACAAGAAAACAGAACAATCAAGTTCTCATATAGTCATCTCCCAGCATCAACAAAACCCTGTGATTGTTATTTTAATTAGAAAGTGTCAGAATATTTTTTAACAAAGAGATGCTCCTAAGTATTTATATATAATATTACAGTTTTTTTAATGCCAAAAATTCTTGAATCGTGTTCAACAGGCCTATTAAGAATATTTAAATACACACTTTATACATTTAAGCTTTCACTATTACAATTGCAGAACTGAATTTATTTGACTTTTGTGGGATAAAATTAGACTTAAAATCTAATTTTTGGTTTGCAAATTTCTTATCTCAGCTATTAACTATTTCAATGAAGCCCACACTCTGCAAATCAGTGTACTGGGGTTTATTTAGGGTCATAATTATTCCTCATTTCACTAGACAGTTTTCTTCTCTGACTTCCAATGAGTACTTAGTTTGCAGATGTGGAAAATGAAGTGGCAGGAAAGAACCTGAGTGTAGAAATAATAGGTGCAAGAGAACAAATGGGTAAGTAAAATTAGCCTGGGCACATATCACCAAATCAGAAGAACCACATTGGGTGTGTGCGAGTATATGTATATAAACACATAAAACATTTGGGAATATATTCTCTCTAAAATACATTTTGTGGAACAGTGGTGAGAAGAATAGGGACTACAGAAGAATGGCTTACAGAATTAGCATTTGGATAGAAGTCTAGTTATAGAGATTTCATAGTCATACATACTTTGATATTTAAAGATATCTTTTAATTCCTCTTAGTATCTTCTATAATTAAAAGTATACTGTTTTTTTAA